ACTAGGGGCTTCCAGATTTCACAGTCCTGCCCCCGTCGCCACTCACTGATCGCCATGGGGCTTTGGTTGGTTGGTTTGTTGGCTTCCCACATAACATCACTTGGGAGAAATTTAAAGCACAGTCAATTTCAGGTGCTCAGAGCACTGCTTACTGCTTTTGCCTCCTGGTGTCATTATTCTAGTGAGGTCTACAATGTTGTCTTGTAAACATTTATGTAATTCTGAATAGCAGAGTGTCTTGACTATTTCTACTCTCCTGTTTTTGTAGATGACCTAAGGGAATATTTTGCTCAGTTTGGCACTGTGAGGAAATGCTTATTGCCATTTGTAAGTATTATTGCCACTAATTACAACAAAAGTTGAAATATTGTTTAAATGTAAAAAAATATATCAAACTTAAGGGGTGCCATAAAAGTGAACATTCTCTAAAATGCTTCTTAGTCCTGTGTGGGTCTACATATACACATACAGGCATCTCAGTTACTAAAGTATTTGAGAAAGAAGCACCTTTTTATAGTATTTATAAGCCTGAGCAACCACTTAAAATTTTATCCAGTTGGAAGGTTTTCATTAGCAGCATTGACACAAGAAGGAAGACTGGAGAAATGCAGGCTTCTGATGTTGGGTTGCAGCAGGGTGTCTGCAGTAAACACTTCAATGAAACTTGTGTTGGGAAAGTATTGAATTCTGTTCTAGTGAATCCTGCTGCAGCTTGCATGCCTGCCTACAGGAGGCAAGGTAAACAGCAGCTGTCTCCAGAATCTCTTACTGAGCAAGTATAATCAGAAAAATAGGAAGACATTTTGCTATGACTCGAGGATTGATCAAGATAAAACTTAGGGCCATGTAACAAACACATCTTTTAATCTCCTATTAAAACTGGATAGAGGGAACACACATAAGGAAGAGCAAAAGAGATGAACTGCTTATTTGAGGGGTTACATTACAATGTGTGTGCGTGCAAAATGCCTGTGTCTATGTAAATGTTGATAAGGAAAGAAATACAAATCAGGTAGAAGAATCACACTCCCATCTCATTACCCTCCTTTGCTCAGTGGAGAAGAATGGTAGCCCTCCCCTCCTTTTTCAGCCCAAGCTGCAAGTGACTTGCAGTTTCTTGACACACACACACACAAAACCCAAGCTGTATTCAGCGGAAATGTTGAACCTGAAGGATGCAGTCGCTTGCTATTTTGGATATCTGAGGTGAGGTGTTACCTTATGGAGTTTATTTAGGAAGCCCTATTTGCACCTCTTCAAGAACCCAAAAGGGCAAGGAGTACAGAGCATCAAGCCAATGTGGTCACCTATTACAAGAATTTTCCCCAGGTTTTTCGGTCAATTATTTGGGTCAGAGGTTTTTTGTTTTTGGGATTTTTTTTGTTTTTTGTTTTCTTATACATGTCTCTCTTTATAGTATAATTGGCAGAGGCTATTTTCCCATTCTTTTACCATTCCAACAGTGATTGGAACTGACATTGTATCAATTAATGTCTCCATTTGAAGGGGTTAATAAATTTTCTACATATTTGTATGCACTTGAGATTATTGGGCAAAAAATTAACCATTTTGAAAGAGGTTGGCATGTTACGTAAGATTCACATTTGCCCACCCCTGCTATAGAAAGTATATGATTTATTTAACAGCATCTTGACGTATAGAAACTATAAAATTTAAATGTTGATAAATATCAATGAAGCTAATCAAATTAATGTAATATTTTAACACGATGACACCGATGATGATATGTTTTAACAGTTTTTATGTTTTATATTGTAATGTTGATTGTTTTTAATGGCACTTTTATGAATGCCTGACATCGAATTGTACCAATCTGTAACCTGCCTTGAGTCATCGTATGGCTGAGAAAGGCAGGCAATAAATATCGTAAATAAATAAATATGTCTTGCCTAATAGGATAAAGAAACGGGATTCCACAAAAGCTTTTGCTGGGTTGGATTTTCTACAGAAGAAGGCCTCAAAAATGCCTTGCAGAAGGACTCGCATATTCTAGAAGGGGTTAAGGTGAGAGATTTAGTGTTGTAGATGTCAACCATGTCCTTTTTAAATCAGCAATTAATGTGTCAGCATGTGTGAGCTGGACAGCATGGGTCCTCTTCATGTCAAACATTCTTCTACAACTTGTATATGAAACTTTGATTTCCTTAGAACACTCAAAAATAGTCTTTTTGTAGTAAAAATTAAAGTTAAATGGCTTCATAATACTGTTATGTGTAGTTTCACTTACTTATTTCTGAATCTCTATCTGAAAATTATATAGGAGCAACTTGGAGGTACAAGACAGCTTTATATGTGTTTAAAGAAGTCCTTTTATGAGAATCTGCATTAGTAAACATACTATATCTTTTTTCAGCTAGAACAAGTAATTACTTGTTTTATGAAGATTTTCTTTTGATTTGAGCAGAACATTTCCTTAAAAATGATTTAATTTTGAAGCTTAAAATTGTAATACATTGTGTTTCTTGTCTTGTGACCAGTTATGTTTTTTTAATATTTCAGCTTGAAGTTAAGCACCAAAGAAGTAGAGGTATTCCAGGCCAACATTCAGAACGAAGAATTGGGGACATCAGTTAAAGGACAAGATACTTTATTTCACTGCCATGTAAAGAAACAAAAATAAACTTGGATATATTCATCTCAATTGAAGAAATCCAGCTGTTTCTATACGCTTAAGATGAACTATACAATCACAGCAGAGCAAGGAAAGCACAGTACCCGTCCCCCTTTCACATAAAACTCAGCAGAAGCAGGGCACACTATGTACATGGAGGGTGCTATCAGATGGAATAAGCAGCTTTGACTAAGAATAGGGTACATCAAGCAGCATATTCCAAACCTAACACAAGAGAACAGCTCACCCTGTGTTAAAAACAAAGAATGGTACAGCTAGATCTCAAAATACAGAATCTATATAATTCAGTGGTCCAATTTTCCCTTTTATCTTCATTCTGCGGATTAGATTGCTTTGTTATACTCATCACGCATTACACCCACCACACAGGAACTGCTATTTGATTAAGACAGCCCCCTGTCTAGAATAGTTCTGAATGTTCAAAGTTGTAAATTCGGACACACTACTCAAGGAAAGAGTTCCTTACTCTTTCCTTCTCTTCTTGCCTTCATGCTCATGTTCTTTAGGGCGGCTACTATCAGAAGGCCGTTTTGAGCCTCCGTGCTGTTTTGCTTCCTCCAAGAATTTGTCCAGACCAAAAGGATCTTCCTCAAACTGAACTGGTCCTTCTCGCCCTCTTTGTCTGCGATCTGAGCCAGAAAATTCCTTATCAGGAACAAACCTGTGAGAGACAAGAAAACACAGTATAGTAGTTGTAAACACAGAATCTCTAAAACTTCTGTTTTAATGTCTGTCTTTGTACCTGTTTGTAGTTTTTATCCGTGCCTCCAGATCATCTCCATACATATCCTTGTCCACATTTTTACTAGGCCGGTAGATATTTTGAGCCATGTCTTTACCACTTCTCCAGGGCTGGTCATAGACATTGTAAATTTCATCTTCTCCTCCAGCAAAGCCGCTGTCCATACCCTAACAGAGTACAAAAGCATTTTATATTAATAGGATATAAGCCTGAACAACTTCTTAACAAATCACCCTTACTACAACCTGTGGGTATCATCCTGGAAGAAATGCAAGATGTAAATTCAATTTTAAAAAATCAAATGGACTATATTAGATTTAGAATAGTGTATTTGCTGGGAGGACAAACTATTATTCTAAAAGTCTGGTCAGGAGCAGTTTGTTAGGTCTGAGGAACCTTCCCAATTTTTCTCTGCAAAGATTCAGGACACTGCATTTTTAAAAAAGATGCAGGAAAAAAACCTGAAGAGGTCTAGATGTAGATGTTCTGCGAAAACCTGCATGGTATGCAGTAGAACACTGCTATCTCTTGTGCCCTTTCCACTAGATTAACATTGAATAAAACATCTTATATAACTTGTTGCATGCCTTCAGGTAATTTCTGGCTTACAGCCATCTTAAGGTGAACCTATTAGGGTTTTTCTTGGACAACTTTGTTTAAATGGTGTTGCCTTTCCTTTTGGATAAGAATGTGACTTACACAGAGCCAGGCAGGATTCAGCCCTGGTCTCCAGGATCATAGTCCAACACTGAAACCACTACACCATGTTGGCTGTAAAATGTCTAACTTCACTGTTTTTCCAATGTAACTAATTATTTGGTGCTAAATGGGGGAAATAACGATGCATGATTCAACTGCTGGTTTGAAGTACTACTGCCCCATGCTGTGTTATAGCTACTGATATGATAAAGTGAATAGGATGAGTGTTCCATAGCAGAGGCCAGTATGTTGTAAGCTATTAAAAACAAGAATGCAAAAAAACAAGAATGAAAACAGTTCCTACAAAAATTCCTGTGTCAGCCTCTATTCTTACTATATTTATTTATACCCTGCTTTATCTCCACTGAAGAGGACTCAAAGCGGCTTAGCATAAAACGTTAGTACAGCATTTAAAATAAACATTAAAACAGAATTAAATATAAACAGATAACCATTTGGTGTGACAACTATACCAACTGGTTTTCAAAAGTAACTTTCTAAGCTCTGGCCTCCATTACAGTTGTATCTCAGGCACTCCCATTATTTCTCCACTTTGAAAACTACCAAACTATTATAGTAAGTACAAAACTTGTCATCAGTGACGAGAATTCTGCAGGGGAGCTGTTAACTGCAGCAAACACAATTTGCTCAGTGTTGTCCCTGTCCTGGGATCTTCCACAGTGGATCATAGCTTTTCCTTGGGAAGTAGAATTTCCTGAGGAGAAGCATCTAAAACCGAATTCCCATCTCCACACTACTTGCTGCTGCTAAAATAGAATTCTGAACACTCACTAGGGAAATTTTCATTGTATCGTCTGGTCCTATAAATGTTAATTTGTTAAAATTACTGAGAATTATAGGCACTGGGTTAAACTGCTTTTAGAACCCATAGAGACCCAGTTTTAAACCCTGAACTAACTGTAGAAATATAGGCTGTTCAGTTTGTACCTTTTCTTAAAAAGTTCATTCTCAACAAGTGAGATTGCCTATATATGGGGGAAAGAGAGAAAAGGACAGTTAAGGAACTTCAATGCAGCTCCACACAACAATGGAAGAAGTTGCTTACCTTACTTTGGTTGAAGAGCCTCTGATCATACTGAACCTCATTAGATGTCCGAGGGTTAGGAACACCCAAAGCAATGACTTCACTAATATCTCTGTTCTCATTCCTTTGTAGTTTTGACCTGGATAAACAACACTGTGTTAGATTTGTTGCTCTGTGCCTTAAAGTCATTTCCAGTATGTGGCAAACCTAAGGAAATCCCATTGCAAGGTTTTCTTGGCATCTGTTCAGAGGAAGGCTCAGTTTCATTAATGTATGCACATGAAACAGGCGGTAAGATTTATTTTTGTTTATATTCTGAATAGGAAGGGTATTTGCATTTGTCTTTAATGAGATATACTGCAGGGAAGCAGTACTGAGTTGCTAGAAATAAATGTGTAGGTCACACAAGGGATAATTTAATAATAATAAATTTATATCCCACCACTCTCCCAAAAGGGACTTGAGGCAGCCTACAAGGCACTTCAAGGTGCAGCATAACATAAACGGTACATGAGTATAAAACAGTATTACATAAAATTATACAGTATATACTTGAGTATAAGCTGGCCGAAATATAAGCCGAGGCGCCTAATTTTACCAGAAAAAACTGAAAAAACGGATTGACTCGAGTATAAGCCGAAGGTGGAAAATGCAGCATCTACTGGTAAATTTCAAAATAAAAAATAGATACCAATAATATTACATTAATTGAGGCATCAGTAAGTTAAATGTTTTTGAATATTTACATAAAACTGTATTAAAGATAAGACTGTCTGATTAAGCCATTACTCTAACCTTCGTCAATGTAAATGTGTTTATGTATCCTTCCAATAATAATTATAGAGTAAAATAATAAATGTAATGACAATAGAGTAAAATACTAAATGTAGTAATAATATTATCTACATTTATTACTTTATTAATTACATCACAGTGTGCGACTTGTGATGTTGTGATACAAAATCCAGCATATATATCTCATTTGCTGTGACATGCTGTGTTTTTGTGTCAGTAAAATAATAATAATAATAATAATAATAATAATAATAATAATAATAATAATAGTAAAATAAAAAATAACCTTGACTCGAATATAAGGTGAGAAGGAGTTTTTTAGCCTAAAAATGGCTGAAAAACTAAGCTTATACTTGAGTATATATAGTAATTTTTAATAATTTGACTTGTTCCTCAAGAAGCTAGCCTCTCCTATATCATAACAAGATGCTTCTGAAATTCTCAAAGATCGCTTGGCATTAAGGGGGGGGGAAGAACAATTTTTCAGAAACTGCACCAACTTACTTCTATTGTTCTAACAACTAGTCAGAAAGGATGATTGCTTATGAAAGGAACGACTAAAAGACTGGGAATCCAATTTAAATCTAAGAAAAAGATATTAAAATTTAACATTGTTCATTCAACCATGAAGGCAGAGTGAACTAATAAAATAGTCTATATGGGCATTTGTCTTTATGCTTCATTTGAAGGCTTCCTTCCAAATATACCACAGGAAGTACAGAAAATAATATATTCATGCACAAGCACTGACATTATCTGAAGGTACACTGCTGTCAGTTTCTTAATCGTATGGGCACAGTTCACTGAAGAAATCACTGTATATAAAAATGTAGAAACTATATCATACTGAGAAACTATATCATAGTTACTGTTGAATAATAGTCTACAAGTGTTTTCATTTCCTTTGTGTTGGGTTAAGTGTCAGTTGTACAGGAATTGAATGATGCTACCTTTTGTCAGGTGCTGCTCTGGAAAGATTTCGATCATGCTGTCTCTCTTTTCTTCTGTCATGTCTGATTTCATCTCGTTCTCTGGCTTCTCCATCCTCTGCAAGTACATTTGAGATTCAAAATGATACACAGACATCTCTATGTGTATTGTTTATTAAGAAGTATCGCTATGGAAACGGAACTAAATATTCACAAAATGAGGCTATAACATTTTGACATCTACATAAAATTAGACTAGGTATATTTTTCTGGCTCAGCACCTTAAATGAAGCAAAATTGTTTATACGTCAGAAAAATATAAAGGCTGTGCACCTACTTGTGGGTCAGTAAATTATATGGAACTTGTTTCCATAGAATCATACTACAAACGGTGTAAAGAGCACAATGTATGCAGTGATAATGATAATAATACAAAAACTGCAATTTTCCTGAAAATTGCAGTTGAAACCTCATGAATATGTTATGAGAACATAACAAGGGGACAAGACAGCAATACCTTTTTCCACGTGCGTTTTGATCCCAGCTCTTCGCTCTCTGGCCTTTTGCGCCATTTCCCTAAGTTTCTCTTCATGTTTTTCTTTCTCTTTCTGAGCCATCTTCCGCTCCACCTGGGCTCGCATCTCTACAGCTTCACGAGCCTATTCAAATCAAAGAACAGAAACTGTAATGATATCTGGCTTTTATATTTTCAGGTTTTTTTTTTTTTTTTTGGTGTCAGGAGCAACTTGAGAAACTGCAAGCCGCTTCTGGTGTGAGAGAATTGGCTGTTTGCAAGGACGTTGCCCAGGAGACACCTGGATGTTTTGATGTTTTTATCATCCTTGTAGGAAGCTTCTCTCATGTCCCTGCATGACGAGCTGGAGCTGATAGAGGGATCTCATCCGCCTCTCCCCGGATTCGAACCTGCGACCTGTCGGTCTTCAGTCCTGCCGGCACAGGGGTTTAACCCACTATGCCACCGGGGGCTCCTATATTTTCAGTTGCGAGATGGAAAATGTGCAACTCATAATTGATCACTAAGATGTTTTCAGCCAAGCAAAACACTAGAGAGCAAGAGAACATGAGTTTAGAGACTCTGAAACACGATTAAAGTAATTATGCAAAAGGTTCAGTGATTTTTCATTGAAAAAAATATTCCCAAAGATGACTGCTGGAGAAGAAACTATGGCTTGACCTTTCTGTCAGCGATGTAGAGTGCTTCAGCCAACTTGGCAAAGTTTTCATTGATGTGTACAGTCTGCAGTCCCCTGCCATCTGCAGCCAGACGTTTGTCCAGTGGAATTGTGTAACCCTGGAGTGAAAACAGACAAGACACTTAATCACTGGGAAGACATATGGGCTGTCAAGAAACTTGTGCCAAATCTTTACTTTCCATTAGAATGCTGCAGTAAACCTGTTTTCTGCATAACCAAACAAGACGATATAGTAATTTTAGCTACCAGTTTCTGACAAGTAATAAAATAAATTAACTGTTATACTAGTAACATCCTTTTGTAATATACACCACATCCTATAAGTGGAATTAGTCACAGTGCCGGTATCTGTTAATTCCACTGATTTTCTATATACAATACGTAACTATTTTTCTTCCTAATTCTCCCCTACTAGAGAAATCAAAATGAGGAAGATCCTCTCCATGTGCTTCCCTTCTCCATTTGTCTGTTCAAATTATGTCTGCCTCAGCTGGCTTTTTTCTCTCCCACTTCAGGGTCTTCTGCTGTCAGTCTTCAAGTCCCACATAGAAATCTCCCCTTTATTCTTTTTGACCACTTGTTACCAATGTTCTTTCTTGAACAATTGCGCACAACTGATGGACTAGACTGCATTTTATGGTCTTGCCAACATTCCAGTCAGAAGCTTCCAGCCAGTCAGATACTTACTGGGTAGACTATTGTGTTTACCTTATAACCAAACTTTACCAATATGGATTCCTTCATTAAGTATATAAAATAGAAATTTCTCTGATATCCAACATTATCAGAAACTAAAAAAGTGCAGCTTAACATTAGTCTTTTAGTCAAACCTGTAAGCTTCTCGGGTCTAAATTGTGGACGTGACAGAGCAATCACAGTTTACAATTCTTGTACACTGATTTTTGTTCTTTTCCTCACACACAGACATACAGTATCTGCAAATCTTATAAGGTTTATGGCTGAGAAGAGATCTGAATCCAGTCCCTATGGTCAAAATCCAACATTTAAATTGATCAGAGCATTACCTAAAAAATTTCCTTAAGGTTCAAGATCACCACTATATAATTATTTTATACTCTAAATACAGCAGTATTAAAGGGATTTAAAACTCTTCTTTCCAGCCAAATTTCAACACTGCAAGATGGCAATACATTTTTTTATCATAGTCTTGACTCATTGTCATCTTGGCAGTCCTAACATACAAGGGAGGGAAAGCCAAACCTTATCACTGCAATCTTTATGAAAGAGCTGGTTTCTTGAGCAAGAGTAGTCTTAACATCCATATTACAGACCCTGATTTAGCTTCCCAAGCAGGATGGAATACTAAAAACTAAGATTATGATAATTACCTTTGCATTTTTCCAGTTTGAAATGCAAGGAGGAATTTTCCATTCTTGTTGCTCCTTTACGGTCATCTGCACAGAGAAGACATAAAGAATTTTTAGATTTTTACCAGTGGATAAAATATTCATTCCTATTCTGAAATACAGTAGGAGAGTAATCACAAAGTATAAATATAAATAACCATAAATAACATGAATGTCGACATAACATACAGTGCTTTTTTGTTAGCAACTGCCAGCAATTCAGAGTATAACTGCTACATTTTTAAAACTCCTCAACCTATGGGGCATCAATTCAAGCCACTACAAGTTGCAATACCAGAAACTTCTACAAACTATCCCTTTCCTGGTGAGTTTACATAAGTTGGCTCTGAAAAGAGAATCTGATAGAATGAGGTGATTGACAAATTTAACCATATTGCCTCAATATCCAAGAAAACAACCAAAGTATATCATGCCAAGATCTCCACACCTTTTTCAATACGGCAATCAGAAGTCTACATGACATCCCCAGTGTGGTTGCGCCACAGCTTTCTATAAATACCATGCTGTGGTGGGTGATTCACTTGTCACAACTACATCCTTGTAGCTGTCCAACACATCAGCTAAAAAGATTGGTATTTATTTATCGTATAAGAAGAGAACCAAGGGTACAGTTGTAATTTATTTTAAAAGCACAAAGTTTAAAAACTTGGCATTACAGTAAATGTCCTTTGACCAGTAGCTGGCCACTTGGAGTGCCTTCTGATGTTGCTATAAGAAGGTCCTCCATTATGCATGTGGCAGGGCTCAGAATGCATGTAATAGGTGGTCCATAGTTTGCTTTTCTCCACATTCACATGACGTAGACTCCACTTTGTGGCCCCAGTAGATTGGTATCTGTACATCTGTGCATTGATGGGTAGTACTTAATGAAGCAGGACAAAAGGGGAAGTAACTATACACAGGAGACTTGAAATGCTAATTTGTAGGCAAACTGAAGCTTCAGGTAATTATGTTTCAGGTAACTACAACAGGTGTACTGTTGATTAAATTAATAAATGTGGGTATTCTAAACAGGAAAAGAGAATGTTAAGACATAATGTTTAAATATTTGAAGATGGAACAATTTACTTCTACTGCTTCAAAGGCTACATTATGAAACAATGGATTCAAATTATGGTAAAGAGGTTTTGGAGACCTTTCAGATGGTAAGAATGATTTGAGAGTAGAATATGCTTCCTCAGAGTATAGTGGAGTCTCCTCTTTTTGTAGTTTTCAAACTAGGCCACCTGTAGGGAGTGTTCTGTTTGTATGTTCCTGCATGTCAGGGGGTTGGACTGGATGGCCCTTGTGGACTTTTCTAACAATTCTATCACTCTGGTAGACCTGATCTCTTTCTAGTAATTCCTCATTTGTAATAGCTATCACACACTGGGTTAAACTTTTCATTACACTTTCCACTATGACTTCAAGAACCCTTCTTGATTAGTCATTGCAAACTCAGACCTCACACTGTTACATGAAGTCAGGACCTTCTTTCCTTGTCAAATACTGACTTACAATGAATATATATTCTATTTTCTTGCCCTTTCATTAAGTTTGATGGGGCCCATCACAATCCTTTGAATTTTCAGCCAATTATTTGGTGCAATCCATAGATTAAACAATTCCATATCATTTGTGTACAAGTTAAAACACTGGTGAGAAAGTGGTTGTCAACCAATAATTGGTTCGATCCCTGTAACCCAGTGGTTCTCAACCTGGGGTCCCCAGATGTTTTTGGCCTACAACTCCCAGAAATCCCAGCCAGTTTACCAGCTGTTAGGATTTCTGGGAGTTGAAGGCCAAAAACTTCTGGGGACCCCAGGTTGAGAACCACTGGGTTACAGGGACCGAACCCAATTATTACATTATGAGATCCAAGTAGTCACAAATGTTACTGATTTAACATCCTTTCCTCTAGTTACATTCGCCTGTGATTTCCTAAAGGACTAGGGAAAAACAGTTTCCTCATGATGACCCTCAGATTGTTCATGTGGCATGAAACGAAATACTCCAAATAGGATTGGAACTTAAAAGAAGGAGAAGAGAGCTGTAAAATCATTACCTTTCTGCTAGGAGAGTGCATTACAGGAGCTGGAGGAGATGGTGGCCCACGAGGAATTTTCTTGTTGATCCTAATATGTAAAAATAAATAAATAAAAATAATTAAGACTTTAAGTTCTTCAACTCCAAATCCTTCATAATCAAAGCACCACAGACTTCAGAAACTTACTTAAATCTTGGTGGTTCCATTGGGTCCTTTTGCATTTCCACCATTCTAATAACTCTCTGTTTTGCACCAGAGTTGAAGGCCACACCCTGCTGTGATGGTGTATATCTGGAAAAGAAAAAGCATTTAATAATCAACCAGCAGTACAGAACCACTTCCCATTAGGACTGTAATTTTCTCATATTTGTTATTGCCAGCATTTCCTTTTTCCTAAAAAGTATATCCACCTTGAATGGGAAAAGAAGAATCATTATGTTTTTGAAGTATGAACACATTGACTAGAGAGCTCTATTTCATTCACAGGACAGAATCTGATGTTCCTGTTCCTATCCAATATTATAGATAATGAAAACATCTTTTCAGCGGGATGCTCTGTATCTCAAACCCCTAGCTTCACTGAAATGCTTGTGTCCTTCACAATTTAAGGACCACAAAGAGCATCATATATTTCCTAAGACAATGTTCATTACTAGAAGCAAGCAAGGTAGAAAACATATAACTTTACAGTTTACTCTGCACAGCCAAGTACATCATGTTCTCTGTAATAAGGCTAATATCACATTTCATTAAATAGCAGTAAAATCTCAACATTCTCATTTAAGTGCTTGTGCTCTTAGATAATCATTGTTTTTAACTCACAAAACAACCTTATATTAAACACTGAATGTATAAAGATGTAAACAATTTAAAAGTATTGAATACCGGATGTATTGAGCTGGAGCTAGTTTATCCGCTGCTCGGACTGGCATAGCTGCTGCAATTTTCTGGGAGACAGATTTTTCCAGTGCTACTCGGGTCTTTTCTGTAAGCTACAATCAGAAATATTACATTAAGCATTTGGGTAGAAATGCTAGTGGCTCCAATATTTATGTACCGTATGTCACTGACTACAATACCTCTCTGACAGCTTCCTCATCAGGTCTTTGAAGTTCAGGGTCATCAACATTCATTACTTCTTTTGGAATCAGGTCTGTGTATTTGCTGTAAATGACCTGAAACAAAGAAAACAGCATTCATGTTGAGGGACAATAGGTCTCCGAAACTATGGAAATAAAAGTACTAGATGAGCTTCTCAAAGCAGAACTATCAAATGGTGAAACCAAAGTTAGAAATATATCGACAAGCCCCAGATAGGACTAAATCAAATTCTATTACTCTAGCCCAGTGGTTCTCAACCTTCCAAATGCCACGACCCCTTAATACAGTTTCTCACCGTGTGGTGACCCCCAAGCATAAAATTATTTTCGTTGCTACTTCGTAACTTATTTTTGCTGCTGTAATGAATCATAATGTAAATATCTGATATGCAGGATGAATTTTCATTCACTGGACCAAATTTGGCACAAAATACCTGATATGCCCAAATATGAATACTGGTGAGGTTGAGGGAGGAGTTGATTTTGTCATTTGAGAGTTGTAGTTGCTGGGATTTATAGTTCACCTACAATCAAAGAGCATTCTGAACTCCACCAAGGATAGAATTGGACCAAACTTCCCACACAGAGCTCCTATGACCAACAGAAAATACTGTGTTTTCCAATGGTCTTTGGTGACCCCCTAACACCCCTCTTGTGACCCCCCCAGGGGTCTCGACCCCCAGGTTGAGAAACACTGCTCTAGCCTGACATAACCAAACACCTGGGATTCTGTCATTCTCACTTACAGTAATGTTTTGGTGGGGTTTTTTTTTTCATGAAAAGATAATGCTTTGCCAAAATTTAAGTATGCCACCATACAAACTAACTTCCATGTTCCTAATCTCATAGTGAGACCAGCACTCTCCCTGAGTTACTTGAAACTTCAAACATCTTATTGAGAATTGAAACTGTGTTCCCTGCTGCAAAGAGCAGTTTTCATACCATCTTTCAAATCTGTTTAGGGTCAAAATGGATCTAAATGATACTTTGTGTCAGCAGTACATTTCTGAAATAGCTCTGTGCCCCACAGTAGTGAAAACTGTATGTAGTTTTTTCCCCAAAACAATGTCTCTACAGCTTCAAAAATTATTGGATTCTTTCTCCACTTGGAAGCCAAATGGGTTTCTCTGCCACTTAGCACTGCTCATAATTGTAGCAGCAGCCAACGTTTAAAGGCTGTTGTTTACCACAGCTTAATAAAATAGAAGTGATATCATGAATTACTGTATTGACCTTGGAGGTTTGGGAAACACTAGAATATATGAAGTCCATTTCTCCAGATAATAAAAGCTGTAACGTTGGATTACAATAACCAAATTTGATTTATTACGGCCTAATAAAATATTTAGGTATGAAAACTAGAAAATTCCTCTCCAGTTTAAATCGGTGTAGCCACTAGCGAGTTATGGCTTCACCCTGAATCCTTTTTCATTCACAAGGCTGCAGGGCATTTTCACATTCACCAATTCTTACTACTCTCTTATGTCCAACCATGATGATGAGAGCTGGTGATCTCAAAGGGAGAGAATAAAATGTAGTTCAAACATCTGCAGAATATGAGAGAATTTGTGAAAAGGCTGTGTCTTTACTTAACTATAATCCAAAAGGTCCAAGAATTTTACTCCTAAAGGCAGGATAAAAATAATTCCAAATAAAATAAATCTGAAATATGAAGAGAATTAAAGGTGTTCATCAAAATCAACATGAATTTTGCTAACCTAAAAAGATGTTCAGATAAAAACATCAACAATGTTTAATTTACTTGGGAAGTAATGACTGGACAATCCAGTAACTGGCTCAAAGTACTTTGTGAGGGATCGCTGGCATCATCTTAAAAAACTTGAAACTAATAATTCTTATCCTGTGAACACTTTTTTTCTGCTTCAAAGAAGTAAAAAGAGTACACTAGTTAACAACTTCTAGAGGTTGATTTGCAAGCAATACTAACCAATAATTTGTATTAGATAACAATGGAAGAAGAGGAAGATGTAAGATGTTAGAAATGCCCCTATTCTATATCCATTCTTGTACCCTTCCACATTCCTCATACATGTCCAATAAAAATGATATGGGAAAAAAGAATATTGACATTTCCCGGGATCCAATAAAATAACACACATTTTTCTTTGTGGTCCTAGGGCCCACTAACTAAGGAACTTCCCCTAGGCCACTGTGTCATTATTTGGCAACTGCTTGGTCTTGAATTATCCAACAGACAATACTACATGTTCCTGAAAATAAACATACAATTACACAGATTGTATACTATGAATACTAAGGAGACACCGTAAGGTCTAAGTTCCCTCTCTATAAGCAAAAAATTTAAAAATAGTATGCCTATAAAAACAAAATACCATGACATTAAATCCTCTTGGATTTTTAATTAGGTCTTATTATTGCCTGAAATTGTTCAGCATTTTTCAAGGAGGTAACAATTACCCAAAAGAGATTATTTGGAGTAGCAGCTCTCAATCTTTATGGCACTTTCATAGCTGTAAAAACAGACCTGCAGCCCAAATAATGGTGCACAAGAGCAATTTAAAATTCAAAATATTTCAAAATTAACAATCTCTTAAATGAGCATCAATAGAAGAACATTTCACAAAGCCAAGTGAAGGACATTTGAAGAGCAGTTATTTTTTCATGGTAATTATAAAAACACCAAGTACTCAAACCATGAAGAACCAGGACCATCCAAAGAGCTCAAGGCATCATGTTCTCTCACCATTAAAATAAGAAAAATCCAAATAAAATAACACCACAATATATTATCTGCTATATGTGAGAAAATTGTCAGCAAATGGATGCATTGCCACTGGCAATAATTGGCTTGCAATTAGACTTTTCTCTGTTTACCTCAAAACAACCAGGTATGTCCTGCCTGTTGTAAGGTTGAAGCCAATTGTTCATTTGCTCTATCCTGTTGTGAACCCCCTTAAAGACAGCATTATATGAAGGACCTGTTTCTTCACTCAACTCTTATAATCTTTTCTAATGCAATATCTGTTTGTTATCCATACATATGGAGCCCAGCACTGAGCATGCACTCTCTCTGGAGAAACAACTACTCAACTGAATAAAAGAGGGTCAGTAGCAGAATTGTAAGAAATGACACGATCACATTTCAGAACTCTGACAACACTAGAATAGTTCATCCCAATTCCTCAATGGTTTTCACTCTCATTTTTAATCTTCATAATGATTAATGCATACCTGACTGGCTATGCCACTTGTTTTACTCACTAAATTAAACATAGAACTTTTCTGAGTGAGTAACAAGTGACTCAGGCAAGTGCATAAACTTCAATCTATATAGTTCTAATTTGGTGTTCTCCTACCTTCAAAAAGTCTACATGGCTTTTAAAGTTGAAACTAAGACACTTTTAAATCTGGCCACCAGTATCCTTAGATCTCTCTTATGTTTTAAGACTACTGGATTGAGGCGAAATATATGTGTGCACAAAGATTAACATGGTGGATAATAAAGCAGCTTCTAACACAGCCTTTGTCAGGTTGCTGCATCTAAGTGGCAGAGGATCTATCCATGTGATTAGTTTTCTGTCCTTGATTGAAGTAAATGATAAACACCAATCTCTCCTACATTTATTGTCAGGGAAATAATAGTGGAGTGAGCAAGTAACCAGAGGACACACAACACTTTAGTAATTAGCTGTCAGACTGAACAATATCACTTATCCTTCAATTTCTTGTAGAAAATACTCTAAATTTTGATATGCTGATACTAACAAATGAGATGACAGAATTCTAATGAGGCAAAATTGACAATATTACTTTAGAGTACAGATAGAAGTCATTTGTGCATTGTTAGATGAAATGACAGTACACAGCTTGATTCTTCATCCAGTTGCATGTTTAGATCAGGCCCCAGTGATCCTGACGGTGCACCTTTATATGTCTGGTCACTACTTTGTGATATACAGACATTATGAATACATTACTGTATTATTTCCTAATAGTGTAGAAAGTGGTTTGGCATATTATACATACAATACTAATTTCAGCATTGAATATTAAACTAAAGGACTTTTAGACACTAAACATTTGTCCCAAAAAAACCCTGCAGTAAACAAAAAATACAATTGTGGTATTCATAGAAAAGCACTTGAGGATTTTATTACCTTGTCTTTTGATTGTCCCTGTCGAGCTATAGCATCGTATTTTATTTTTCCTTCTGCGTCGACTTGAACAGCTAATGAATTGGACATTTTCTTTTTTCGGCCCATGTCCAAAGGATATTGAGCAACATGAATTTCTGGGAAAGCACCCCCATCTCCAAAATCCTGAACAGAAACAAAAGTGGAAATAATTAAAGTTTGGACAAGAGAGAAAAAAAATATACTTTCACTTGCTCTCCAACAAAATGAAGTGAAATCCTGCAAGGTGTGTCACCACCACATGTTATACAGGAGAGTCATTTCCAACAAAACAAGGCACAATTTGCTCAAGCATAAGAAACTAGTTGGATGATTCTTTAGATAGACTGTGATCTAAGATTAAGGCTCTGATTCTAAATGAATTAACTCAAATTTTGCAAGCTCTGATCTTTGAGAAATCATACCTCAGAATAGCATCCTCATGCAAAAACCACAGATTTATCATTTCTTGAATGATAAGCAAAATATTTTAAGCATTTACCAGAATTAACATCTGACCCTATAGCTCACAAACATATAAACACAAAATATGTCCTAAAATCTGTGTTCTGGTAGTAATGGGCTCATATGAAATTTAGTGGGAAATACCATAGGAAGGCAAACAAATAATGAAAAATTAGTTCGAAAAACAAGGAAAAGTATTATGTAAAAATCTACTGAGACAGCAATATACTGTAGATAAAACATGTGCAAAGAATAGTGGTTGTGGAATTAAAAGCAAAAAGCATGTAAATGTAATATCTGAGGTCATAAAATTTATTGACCCTGATCTTGAAATTATTGCCTTGCATGGCTATCCTTTAAAACGTTACAGCATAGTACATCCCATTTTCACCAAGCCTCCCTAAACCCTACAAAGAGTTGCTTGCAAGGAATGGGAAATCCAACCAGCATGAGATACAGCAAAAAGGGGAAATAACAAATAAGAATGGTAAAACTCAAGTGCAGCTAACAAGCAAAAGCACTTCCTGCTAGCAAAAAGGCATCATAAACTTGAGTACAGGAAACACTATGATAAGAAAATTAAGTAGGCAGTAAGAAGCATAAAAGCTTAATAGGTAAAAGTTGCTTCCATCATCAACACTGAGAAAAAAAGGGACTGAACTAGATATGCCTCCTGAAAATTGGCATTTCAAACAGTGAGATTGTTTTTGACCAGTTAATGTTTGTGTTAAAGTACACATCTTTTGTACCTTCAAAAAGCTTGAATATCATGTATTCATCAAGTGATTGCAATGCTAATTCAATTGATTTCAAACTCAGACTGATTTCCACTTTGATTCAATTTCCACAAAATATGAAAAGACAGACGGGAGGATATTTCTGCAAGGCACTTATATAAAGTCACAGGTATTGTGGAAACAATTTACTGCAAAAATTACTGAGATTACAGATATAGCTGTATATAAGAATCAAATACTTTTTGTGCAATCACAGAGAGAATTTCCAGGTTTGTCTGGCAGATGGAAAACCCAGAATAGAACTCAAAATGATGCACAATACTAAAGAAATGGCTGGCAATGGAATTCTCAATATCAAACTGTATGAGGCCTAATGCTCTGTGTGGCTGAAAAAATTGATTTTTTCCCTGAGATGAGTGATTTTAGAAACTTGAAGGTCATGATCTAAGATTTGGGTGGCATGGCTATTTCTGGCATGATAAGGTAAAAGCAGATTCTGTATATAGAAATCACTGTATTAGGAAGGTTCTTATACAAATTTGATATACATGTAAACAGCAGCTTTTCCCATGATAACATTAGCTACCTCACCACAAGAAACCTTTTAAAAAGAAAAAATGAGTTAACAAATTGATGTTTTATGATCTTCTGTATTTTGAAAATGACAGCGTAGAGCTTAAATCAAGAGAAATATTTTATTAATAGTTTATTAATGAGTTTTACTTAGAACTGCTCAAGCATGATGATCATGTAATTTAAAAAGTCTACGTTTTGATATCACAGCTGAAAGATAAACCTGTAAGACATTAGAGGATAATGTGAGTAAAAAAATTGGGCCATAATGTTCAAATGAGGGGAAAATCTGGGCTAAAGATATAAAATTTTCCTTGTACAATAATCTAAAAGAGAATATGAATAAGATGTGTATAGAGGGTACCTAACCCCAAAGAAGCTGTCAAAAATATCTACAAATATTTCTAATAATGTTAGGTTTACCATAATAAAGATATGTCTTTTTTCCAAAAGGGTGGATTTGCAAGAAAGTGAAAATCTATCAGTCTAAAATGTATGTTAATTCCAAAATTAAAAGCAGATTTTGGAACACTATCAAAAAAGCTTCTACAGTGTATTACAGATGAAGAACTGGATGGTAAATATATAAACTACTTTGTTAATATAAGATAACAGTGGCAAGAATACTATTTGCTCAAACTGGAAACCGATTGAAGCACAAACTATGGAAGAAGATTATTAAGGGGGCTAGTTTTGTCCAAATTACCAAATTAATGTGAATTTTAGAAGATAAACAAATTGAAGTATTTTTGAAAGAATGGAAACCATTTATGTACTATACTCTCTAACAATGTACCAATACATTACTACAATTACTAGTAACTTTAATAAACCTAGTAATTTTAATATAGTTATATTTGTAATGGCAAAACATTCCCCCCCCCCTTTCATTAGTTTGCATTTAGCATGTCAGAGCTCCCTTGCATTACTAATGTTGTAGTTAGCCTGTATTTATGGTTTTAGTTTTCAGTCTTGGTTTTACTGGCTTATATCATGTTTCAGCTTTAGCTTAGTGTACAGAAACTGCACACCTGTACTGTTGCACATTTGGTAATGCAATGCTGCAATTCATTAATAAGTGGCATTATAAAACTACAACATAATTCTGTGAAAAGTAACCACCACACTACTCTACGAGCATGAAGTTACATTTCATCTTGTCAGTGCAGGATCTCGGCTGATATTTCAACTCTGTGAACTTAATATAACTAGTCCTCTACTAGATATTTGTTTGTGGTGCATGATACTAATACACCTTTTCTTTGAGGGTTTTTTTTTTTGTAATAGATTTGATATAACTGTATCCTATGTAGACTTCCTACAAGACATCTTTGTACAATTCCCAAAGACATTTCTAAACTTATTATTGCTACTGATTCTTAAACAGTTTTGTGTCCTTTGCCATCATTAACATGCAGGCTGTCACACCAGTTGCACGAAGCATTTTATTTCCATTTCACACATGGGGGAGCCAAAACCAGGAGATAATGACTTACATAGGATCTTATAATAAATGTACAGTACAGATGGAATGTTAATTCAAGGGCCGAAACCAACTTGAATTCCATCATAACTTGTCTAGTAAATGCACTGCATTTGTCAGAATAGATGTCAGAATATTTGGGAAATGTAATAAATTTTTTTTCTTAGATTCAAGGTTATTTCTAAAACCCGTTTTAAAAAAATCTAAATCCAGAAAATTTGCTTATATAACAGAACAATCTCCTCTGGCCCTTATTCTACAACCTCCCACATTCCCATCTTGTTGTGTTCCTTAGAGGGAAACATTAGACAATCCACAAGAAGATTGCAGGGAATTTCCCCAATTCCATTTAGTGGAAAGACTAAATTAGATTCTACCTTTTGTTAGTTTGCATCACTCACAGATTAAATTTCTTGCACATTTATTGCTGTGACAGAGACACTCCTGCAATAATTAAATTTAAGTTGCATTTTGTGAAAGAGGAGTACATTCAGAAATTACAATGCTTCTATCTCACGTGGTCACCCCTATAAAATATTCTGTTACACTGGAACATATGAACCCTGCTGCATCATTACAGCAAGGACCAGTCTATTTCCAACAGGGGACAGAAAATAAGAAAATAAGAAGCACATGATGTTAACTTCCCAATAAATATTTTTCTTGGGTTCAGCTGTGGGGATGGGAGGGTGGTGGGTGGGTAGGCATCAACACTGTCTCAACAAACAACAAATGGGATGCAAACTGAGACACACATGCACATTATTGGCCCTTTCCAAAAGAGAAAAATAAGTGAAATTGTTATTCATTACTAAGGTAGTGTATGCTGCTATTTACCTCTAGCATTCGGGGTATCCATCCTTTCCGATAACCGTAAGGGGGAGGTTCTCTTCGTGATGACACCAATGCTGTCTGTTTTACTCTTTGTGATCTTGCCCTTTCTTCTAATTCTAGCTGGTCCTGAGATAGCTGAGTTGGTGCTGGTAAAAAACTAAGCATATGCAGAAGAAAAATTAATATTTGCACATAATGTAAGACAACACATGCAGCATGTTTGCTATCACAGAATCTGACAAAGAAACTGATTCTGCTATTGTTTATGAGAAACTGAGTGCAATATTAGCACATTCTTGATCTTTTCAGCAAGGTGGCATTAGCAACTAGGGAGAAAAGGCTGATCTTCATCCTCTTTGAGGATTTTTGTACTTTGTCATCAAACTCAGAACTATGCCAGTTTTTCAGAAACTAAGACAATGCTACATAAGAGTCCACAGATTTTGGCTGGCGTTAGGAGAGAGCAGAGATGTAAAGGCAGTGAAAATTTTTAGGAAAATATTTCCCCATTTCTCACCTCAGACAAATTTTTAATTGTTCCAGTGATAAAAGTGGAACTTTTAAGAAAAAAAAGGGGAGGGGATTTAGATGAAAGGTTATGGTTTTATTCAATCAACATGTCAAAACCAGCACCTTATGCAAGACAGCCAAATAAAAATAAATTCATGGGTATCTAGTAAATATATACAACACTCATGTTGGTGACACATTTTTTTTAAACAGGCATCCTTTCATGACACAATAAGTCAATTTTACTAGCCAAGCAGTGATTAAACAAACCCTTTGTAAGAGATACTGACACCTACATAAAGCGAAATAACAAAACAAGCTTTCAATTATATTCTTAAAATATATGATTTGTAAGGTAATAACATATATTTCCAAGATTTCTGTCATTTCCCTTTATGTTTATGTGACACACCTACACAGTGGCAGCCAACACACTGAGACACAGTTTGGCAAGCTCTGATCTATGGCTTCAGTGTCATGGGTTTTATTTAAAGTGAGAAACTAATGTCTTCTTCTAAATCTCTATTCTAATAGTGGATTCAGAAAAAGTATTCTGCTTGACTTCTAGATATACAGGAAAAAATGGATGAGCAGAAAGTGCTCTCTTCAGGCTGGTTTTTCAGGGCCATGTACTGTCCTTATGGACATGACCTGAGATTATTACTAGCACCTACGCTCCTAGAAAAAGTGGCTCCCTTAAAACCATTACTGCAGAGCTGGTATTGAACAGGGAGATAAGTTCAACATCTTAGGACTGTATTTCCGGCGCAATCTTTTTACCTTTAGACTACGACTCTGGAGACCTGGGTTTGAATCCCTACACAGCCATGGCAGCACACTGGCTGACCTTGGTTAAGCCCCTTTCTCAACCTTTGAGGAAGTCAAAGGCAAATCCCGTCTGAACAAATCTCGTCAAGAACACCCTTGCTTAGTTCACCTTAGGGATGCCACAAGCCAGCAATAGTTTTGGCACCTTGAAGAGAAAGTGAGACAACTGTCCTCTCTAAAGATGAGGACAAGAAAGAACTGACAATGAGTTTCCAAGGGGGCATCTACACTGGAGAACGGATGCACTTTGGCACCACTTTAGCTCCCACAGCTCAGTGCTAAGGAATCCTGGGAGTAGTATTTTCAGCTGTCTGTGCCAAATTGCAAATCCCAGAAGTCAATTGCCTTCTTAGGATGCCTCTACACCAGACATGGGATAACTTTGGCCCTTGAGGTGTTTTGGACTTCAGTTCTCATCCATGAACACCATAGAGCAGGCATGGGCAAACTTCAGCCCTCCAGGTGTTTTGGACTTCAACTCCCACAAATCCTAACAGTCTAGGCTGTTAGGAATTGTGAGAGTTGAAGTCCAAAACACTTGGAAGACCAAAGTTTGCCCATGCCTGCGCCACGCTGTGGGAATAATGAAGTTTAACACCACTTTTGTTGCCATGGGTCAATGTTAACAAAAGAAATTGTGCGATGTGTCGTTTGATGAGGCACAAGGACTCTTTGGCAAAGGCGAAGAAAATCTTGTAGAACTACAAGACACACTGGACGAAAGCATTCATATTGTGGCCCTCAGAGGCCCCTTCCACACTGCGCCTATATCCCAAGGGAGCCACCTTTTCTGTAGGGTGTGTTACCCACATGAATATATGAGTGTAGGTGCTAGTAATAGTCACAGGTCATGTCCATAAGGACAGTACATGGCCCTGAAAAACCAGCCTGATGAGAGTGCTTTCTGCTCATCCATTTTTCCTGTATATCTGGAAGTCCTGTTTAAGGAGCTCCACTGGCTGCCGTTCATTTTCCGGTCCCTATTCAAGGTGCAGGTGCTCACCTACAAAGCCCTAAAAGCATCTCCGTATATGAACCCACACGATCCCTCCATTCATCTGGAGAGGCTCTGCTCGCGATTCCACCTGCGTCGCAAGCGCGTTTGGTGGGGACGAGGGACAGGGCCTTCTCTGTGGTAGCCCCCCGACTCTGGAACTCTCTCCCCAAGGACATCAGACAAGCCCCAACGTTGGCAGTCTTTAGGAAGAGCTTGAAGACCTGGCTGTTCCAGTGTGCCTTTCCAGAATAGGAAACTCCCAGCATCATGTCCCAAGCGCACTTTACGAGAGATTTAAGATTGCCTGCACATCACACCTAACCTAAAATCCTTACATTTCACCTGTCATGTCCAGCACTTTTAATTTATTCATTACATTTGGCCCGGCCCTAGTTTTAATTGTGTCATGATGTATTGTTTGATGTTTTACTGTTATTGCTTTAATGTTTATTGGTTTGCTTTATGAGTTTTATTGTTGTATTTGTTATGCTGTTGTTTTATTGAGGGCCTTGGCCTTTGTAAGCCGCACCGAGTCTTTCGGGAGATGTTAGTGGGGTACAAATAAAGTTAATAATAACAATAATAATAATGTCAGGCAAAATACCTTTTCTGATCCTAGATTATCTGCTTTAATCTGGGTTATATGAGTCTCCACTACAAAATAATCTAGGATCAGATCCTGCAATATTGGGGTGGTGTGTTGTTGTTCATTCGTTCAGTCGCCTCCGACTCTTCGTGACCTCATGGACCAGCCCACGCCAGAGCTCCCTGTCGGCCGTCACCACCCCCAGCTCCTTCAAGGTCAGTCCAGTCACTTCAAGGATTCCATCCATCCATCTTGCCCTTGGTCGGCCCCTCTTCCTTTTGCCTTCCACTTTCCCAGCATAATTGTCTTCTCTAGGCTTTGCTGTCTCCTCATGATGTGGCCAAAGTACTTCAACTTTGTCTCTAGTATCCTTCCCTCCAATGAGCAGTCGAGCTTTATTTCCTGAAGTATGGACTGGTTGGACCTTCTCGCAGTCCAAATCACTCTCAGCACTTTCCTCCAGCACCTCATTCAAAAGCATCTGTGTGGTGTGGAAGGGGCCAAAGAGGCCAAGCAAGGCATGGGTTAACTTCGGCCCTCCAGGTGTTCTGGACTCCAACTCCCACAATTCCTAACAGCTATTATGAATTATGGGAGTTGGAGTCCAAAGCACATGGGGGGGGGGCAAAGTTTGCCCATGCCAACCCAACCCCACTTCAGGTTACAATTGGAACCACTTCAGGTTACAATTTCACAATGACCCCCTGCCTATCTTTACTGAACACCAAGGCCTTACCTTCTTTGTTTCTGGAGGGCCAGCCTCCCAAGCAAACAATCACTGACAATTTTTCACTTTAGGAAGCGCACTGAAATAATGGAAGGCCGCCCACTAGAATACCATTAATACCGACTTTTAGGGGAGAATGCCCGTTGCGGCCTAGGCCTCTCTCGAGCCTTTCCCCCTCCACCGAAACCCGCTCACACTCCACGGAAATCAATAACAAACAGAGACTTTCCCGTAAAAGGCTCAGGGAAGCGGGTGGCTATCGGCTTCCAATTTCTGATAAGCTCCCGCTTCGCAGCAACAAAACTCACCTGGTCAGCGCCATCTTGCCGCTCTCCTTCTTCCTCCACCTCTGAGGGCCGGGCGCTGAACGACAAGCCTCGACGGAACTGGCCCGGAAGCCAGGGGCATGCTGGGAATTGTAGTGTTACAGGCGGAGAGGGACGCTCGCGACACGTTTGCGCATGCGCCGCACTCAGAGCGGGATGTGGTGGCTTGAAGGAGCAGAACAACTGGATTCAACAGTTTGGTACAGAGTGGAACTTATTAGCCAAACATTCAGACTCAAGTAGCAAGATTTAAATAATCAGCAAGGAAAGAAAGCTTTTTATAAGGACCATTTTGAGGTATGGAAGATATGGATTACTATGATAGTAATGAGAATGGATGTTGCCAACAGATGGAAACGAGTAGATGGGCCCAAAGGATTGCTTAGACCAGGCCTGGGCAAACTTGGGCCTTCCAGACGTTTTGGACTTGAAGTCCAAAACACCCGTAAGGCCCAAGTTTTCCCAGGCCTGGTTTAGACGCATGTATTTTACATTCTCTGCAGTATGGATTGTGTATCTCTTATTGTGCAGGTACAACTGCACCAGGAGCTCCAATTTTGTTTGCTTTGCATTTAATGTTTGTTATAGTCCCAAGTTTCAGGGACTCTGCAGATAGGTGGCTTCCTTTGGCTGCAATCATAGGGCAAGCCACCTGTCAATTATAGTTAGGTTCCCTGGTCCCGCCCCCTTTTTGGGTTTTTGGAGGGAATAGGGGCCTCTTTGGGTTCAGTCCACACAGAGAAGCCTTCCATACAGGACATAATACCAAGAGCTCCTGTAGAAAGCTTCGTCTTCTACAACTTGGCTGGGGTTATATAGCCCACAGCTTGGCCGAGGATCATACAGCCTTACAGCTCCTTTGCTGAGGGACTTCAGCCAGCCATCACCGAAACCTGAACTCCTTTTCCCCTGGAAGTCTACAAAGCTCTGCTTGGTAAGCGTCACTCGCGGAAGCCAGAAGCAGTTGGTACCGGGTGCAGGGGCTCCACGCCAACAGAGGCAAAGACAGACTGCCCAGATTAGAAGTTAAGGATTTCCCCATTAGTTAATGTACAGTTTATGAAGATAGTGCCTGTTCCCTGTGGACAAGATTGAGAGAGAGCCAATAGACTGTTAAGAAAGCCTTAAAGTACCTGTTTGTTTTTATTAATAAAGAACTTTGTTGAACCTTTAAGCAATCTAAGGCTCTGTTTTAAGGAAATCCAAGGGCCTTTAATCTGAGGCAGCCCCGGTGTCCCGTTGGGCACACAGAATGTATGTCCTGTCTACAGTCTTATGCACAGGCCCAGCGTGAGACAGCACACTTATTATCCCAAATGCTTGGGACCAGAAGGATTTTGGATTTGTTTCAGATTTTGGATTACTTGTATTTGTAAATATATGTACTCGGAACTCATTTACGTTTCATATGCACCTTATATACATATCTTAAAAGTAATTTTATACACAACTAAAAGAGCCACTCGTGGCGCAGTGGGTTAAACCGCTGAGCTGCTGAACTTGCTAACCGAATGGTCTCAGGTTTGAATCCGGGGAGCGGTGTGAGTTCTCGCTGTTAGCCCCAGCTTCTGCCAACCTAGCAAAAAGGGGTGGTTCTTTGAGTTCAAAACCCCTTCAATTAATTTAAGTTGGATAGTGCAGGGTATGTGTGCCACGTTTGGTCCAAATCTATCAAGCCATGTAGGAGCCTTTGTGGTACAAACCAACTAACCAACATCCATACATAGACACACACACACACACACACAATTAGATAAATAGGAGCCCCCAGTGGCAAAGCAGGTTAAACTGCTGAGCTGCTGAACCTGCTGATCAAAAATTCAGTTCAAATTCGAGGAGCAGGTTGAGCTCCCACTGTTAGCCCCAGCTTCTGCCACTCTAACAGTTCAAAAACATGCAAATGTGAGTAGATCAATAGGTACTACTTCGACTGGAAGGTAACGGCCACATGACCCTGGAGGTGTCTATGGACAACGCCGGCTCTTCGGCTTAGAAATGGATATGAGCACCACCTCCCAGAGTCAGACAGGGGAAAACCTTTACCTTTACCTAGGGTATTTACATGGCATTGCCTGAGTTTGCATTTTCTTTTGTGGCTTTTTTCTTCCTCTCTTTCCTTAATACACAGTATTTCTTTCTTTCTTTCTTCCCATGCTTTTCCTCAAAACATCTTCCTCCTCTTCTTTTTCTGTACTCTGCCTTTCTTTTTCTCCCCTTCCCTCACTTCTTTTGTTCCTTTTCCCTTTCTTTCTCTTTCCTTCTTTTTCTTTCTTCCATCCCTTTCCCCATTTCTTCTCCCATCTTTTTTCCTTCCTTTTTGTTGGAAATGACAATCTTCTTCAAGCCTTCTCTAGTAATGTTTATCTATGATCTTGTTGTTTACTGTTTCCTGTATGTATGTTCTGGTATGCAGCTTCATTTTCTCTATGGTTCCCGAGAAGTTATAAAAGGGGCTCTCTTCCTCTCCTTTTTGACTACTATGTGACCTGTTGACAGGTATTTTTGTTACTAGAGATGCCTTGGCTGTCTGGCACAGGGAACCATCTCAGACATATCTGAAACTGGACTGATAAGTTTTATAGCTATGTATGCTGAATACATGAATGTTGTGAGTAAACCAAATATGTTATTTTTATCAAATAATAATAATAAAACTTTATTTGTATACCGCTCTGTCTCCCCAAGGGGACTCAGGGTGGTTTCCATCATGGTAAAGCATTGCAATTACCAACATAAAAAACATACAGAAGGTCATTATAAAAAGTATAAACATAAAACTATATAACAATCGTACATATTTAAAATTTAAAAGCCAGTTCAATACTAATTACATCGGGAAGCTCAGCTTCCAATGGCCAAGATTCCAAAGTGGGCCTCAACAACTATTTTTCTTATATTGCTGAGGTAAAAAGAAAGCTGGTCTGCGATTATTTCTTCTGCTGAGGTAAAATGAAAGCTGCTTTGTGATAGGTTATTTCTTTTACTGCTGAGGCAAAAGGAAAGCTGCACAGCGATTGGTTGCTAGAGCTTAGATTTCATTTCTTATACTGCTGAGGTAAAATAAAAGTTAGGCTGTGAGTGGTTGATTTGGGCATCACAGATTCCTTTGTCTACTCCCGGACTACTTGTTCTACTCTAAATACACGTGTGTATTCAAATGCAACATTGTGTCAAAATTTCATTTTTCTCTAAAAAGATGCACGTATTGGAATGTAACCTTGTGTCGAAATGTCAAGTCAATCGGCCAATTACTTTTTGAGTTTTGTGAGCTCAAACATCTACAGGCTGAGATTTCATATATAAAGACTTTATAAAATTTTGTAATGAATATTGTACATAAAGGCACATTTAGAAAATCAAGCGAATGTTGATCTCTGTGTTACTACATATTCTGTTCACTGTAATTGCTTACAAATAAACTGGTTGTAGAAAATTTGCATAACTTTCCAGAATATCTTTTCACTAGGAAACTGGACCGTGAACCTTGTCCCAAGGCAGGGATGTGCATAACAGGCTTATTAGTCCCTAGAACTAGTGTATCTCCATCGACAAATGTTACTGCTCAGTAAAATTCTCTTTTTCATGGTGTTTTCTCCTAGAGAATATATTTAAACTTTTTCAGAATCTGTTTATCATTATCGTAATTACACCAGTGTGGCTTTAGAAAAGAAATCAGCTCTATCTTCCTGGAATGGGTGATGTTTGTCATTATTTTTCTTTCTAGTGATAGGGAGGCCTGAGTTAGAAGCCAGCTGTACAGGAAGCTTCGGCTTTCGCACCTGCAAAAGCGTCATCAACACTTCCATTGTTCCTAATGAGCCCATTTATCCTTGATTATTGACAGTGGTGGCAGAGAAGATTTTGGAAATATCACAGCTTATTGAGAATGTTGATACTTGATAACAGGTCTATAGTTTATGGGAGAAACTAATCAGGGTCACAAGCATTATGTAAGAAAGACTTATTGTTACATGACTTCAAGCCATTTCCGATTTATGGTGACCCTAAAATTACTGGGGTTTTTTTGTTGCAAGATTTATTCTGAAAGGGTTTGCAGATTATTTATTTATTTATTTATTTGGAGTGAGAATGTGATTTGCCCAAAGTCACCCATTGGATTTCCATGGCTGAGCGAGAATTCGAATTCAGGTCTCTAGAGTCATAGTCCAACACTCAAACCGCTACACTATGTTGGCAGTTTGGCTAATGGAGCTTAATGACGGTCTGGATGAGGGCGAACAAATTGAAATTGAATCCAGACAAGACAGAGGTACTCCTGGTCAGTCGCAAGGCCGAACAGGGCATAGGGTTACAGCCTGTGTTGGATGGGGCCGCACTCCCCCTGAAGATGCAGGTTCGCAGCTTGGGTGTGACCCTGGACTCATCGCTGAGCCTGGAACCCCAGGTTTCGGCGGTGACCAGGGGAGCATTTGCACAGCTAAAGCTTGTGCGCCAGCTGCGCCCGTACCTTGGGAAGTCTGACTTGGCCACGGTAGTCCACGCTCTGGTTACATCCCGTTTAGACTACTGCAACGCTCTCTACGTGGGGTTGCCTTTGAAGACAGCTCGGAAGCTCCAACTAGTCCAACGCTCGGCAGCCATGATTTTAACAGGAGCGGAACGCAGGGAGCATACAACCCCCCTGTTGCGCCAACTCCACTGGCTACCGATCTGCTACCGGGCTGAATTCAAAGTGCTGGCGTTGGCCTTTAAAGCCCTAAACGGTTCCGGCCCAAGCTACCTATCTGACCGCATCTCTGCCTATGAACCCACCAGGACTTTGAGATCTTCCGGGGAGGCCCTGCTCTCGATCCCGCCTGCTTCTCAAGCTCGGCTGGCGGGGACGAGAGATAGGGCCTTCTCGGTGGTGGCTCCTCGGCTGTGGAACGCCCTTCCTACGGACATTAGACTAGCACCATCTCTAATGGTATTCCGCAAAAAGGTGAAGACCTGGATGTTTGTGCAGGCGTTTGAGTAATTTAGTACAATCTGGTAATGGAACATAGGAATGGAACAATGGACGACGAATCTGGACTACGCTTGGATGATGAGAAGATTGGGTACGGTTGTTTTTTGTAATAATTGTGCATTGTAATTGCTTATTGGTAATTTATGGATAATGTGTTAAGTCAATTGTTATATGTTGTATGGAACCACTGCTGTTTCTACTGTTTCTACTGTTTGTGAACCGCTGTGAGTCGCCTTCGGGCTTGAGATACAGCGGTATATAAGCAAAGTAAATAAATAAATAAATAATGGCCAAAATATTGTGTCTTTGTGACCTGAATCTTGTTTGCATCACAGATTCATTGTGTATAATGGGCAGGATATCATAGAATTATATCCACCATTCCAAGAATCTAGCTACAATGTTCCATAGATAGGGGTTTGTAGTTTAGGGAGGAGCCTTTAACAGATTTAAAGTGGATTCATTCTCTAGTGTGATGACGTCCTTTGACACCACTAACTCCCATTAACCAATGGTATGGAATCCTGGAGTTTAAAGTTCTATCTATAGGGTCTTTAGCAGCCATGGGCAAACTTTGGCCCTCCAGGTCGACTTCATAATAATAATAATAATAATAATAATAATAGTCACGATCATCATCATCACCATCATCATCTTTATTTATATCCTGCCCCCTCTTTCTGGAGTACAATAAATACAATAAATAATATAACATAGACAATAATTACATAATTAAGAAAATAAATGATTATCAGTTAGTAAAAACAATGTAACACAATACTGTCAATGTAAATAGATAAACAATTTAAAAGACAATAAGGCCCTCTTAACAGTCAGTAAGCTGGCTGGGATTTCTGGGAGTTGATTTCTGGGAGGGCCAAAGTTTGCCCATACCTGTTTTTTAGCCTTTTCTGCCAAAGAGTGTTATTGCCTCACCAAACAAGCACCGGGATTGTGGTGCAGCTGGCTGAGTGTCAGCTGCATTAAGATCACTCTGACCAAAAGGTCATGAGTTCGAAGCCAGCCCGGGTTGGAGTGGGTTTCCAACCAATTGTGTGTAGCCTGTTGTCGACCTTTGCAACCCGAAAGACAGTTGCATCTGTCAAGTAGGAAAATTAGGTACCACCTTAAAAGTGTGGAGAGGCTAAATTAACTAATTTATGAGGCCATAAAGAAGACTCCAGCAAAGCATTCCAGCGGGGAAGCATGCGGGGAATGCAGAAGTACTTCATCAGCGTCGCAGATGGACGATGAAAGTGACAGCTCCCCTGGTGGCCAGAAAAAGTTAAATAGCCTCTGTGTATGTCTGTATATATTTGTATGTCAAAAATTGGCATTGAATGTTTGCCATATATGTGTACACTGTAATCCGCCCTCAGTCTCCTGCGGGGTGAGAAGGGCGGAATATAAAAGCAGTAAATAAATGAATAAATAAATAAATAAACTACAACTCCCATCATTCAATTGCATTGAGCCCTGGCAGTCAAAATCCCCATATTCTATAGCATTGAGCCATGGCAGTGAAAATGATGCAATAATTCTATAATGTAGATTCGTCCATGGATTCTCAAGGCCAGATCACAATTATAAGAGACTAGTGCTCATAAAAATACCTGGTTTTGTTGACAGTTCTTTTCTGTCTTCCAAGGCCTTCCTGGGTTGGATTACCCTGTATATTATACTGGCTTTTATCTGTTACTACTTCTATCATAGGGTGCTATTTGCAACACGGGCCTACACTTGCTTTCATAAAAGCAAGGCCTGTCATTAAATGCAGCAAGGTTTTCTTCTCTTCAGAAATTTTAAGCCTGAATTTTTAGGGGAAATACTGCAAAACAACAACAACAACCCCCCCCCAAAACAAAAACAAAAAAAACAAGTCCATCAATAGCTGGAATTGTTATCTATTTATCTAATTAAGGTAAAGGTTTCCCCTTAACATTAAGTCTAGTCATGCCCGATTCTGGGGGATGGTGCTCATCTCCATTTCTAAGCCGAAGAGCCGGCGTTGTCCATAGACACCAAGGTCATGTGGTCAGCATGACTGCATGGAGCGCTGATACATTCCTGCTGGAGTGGTACCTATTGATCTACTCACATTTGCATGTTTTTGAACTACTAGATTGGCAGAAGCTGGGACTAACTGCGGGAGCTCTCCCTGCTCCCCAGATTTGAATCGCCGATCTTTTGATCAGCAAGTTCAGAAGCTCAGTGGTTTAACCTGCTTTGCCGTCGGGGGCTCCTATTTATCTAATTACATGTGTGTGTGTGTCTATATATGGATGTTGGCTGGTTGGTTTGTACCACAAAGGCTCTTACATGGCTTGATAGATTTGGACCAAACGTGGCACACATACCCTGCACTATCCAACTTAAATTAATTGAGGGGTTTTTGAAGTGAAAGCACCACCCCTTTTTGGTCCAGAATAGAGGGAAAGAAAGGGAATAAGGCAGATTGCCTATGGCTTGGCAAAGTGTATTTCAGGGGAAAGGAGGGAGGAGGGAAGGGAAAAAGGCAAAAAAAAAAAGGGGGAAGAAAGGAAGGGTAATGAAGAAAGAAAAAGGAGGGAGGGAAAGAAAAGAGGAAAAAGTGTGAAGGGTGAGAGGAAAGAAGGAGAAACAGGGGAAGGGAAAGGGAGGGAAGAAATAAAAATAAGGGAAGATCAAGGAAAGGAGTTGAGGAAAGGAAAGGAGAAAGACATGAGAGGGGAGAAAAGAAGGGAAAAAGGGAGAAGGAAGGGAAAGAAAAAGGGAGGGAGGGAAGAAAGAAAGAAAGAAAGAAAGAGAATGATAAGAGGGAAAGAAGGAAGGTAAGAAAGAAAATGAAAGGAAGATAAAAAAGGAAAGGTAGAAGAAATAACGAGGAGGAAAGAGAAAGGAAAGAATAGTTATAAGGGGAGGAAAGAAAAAAGGAAGGGAAAAGGGAGGGAAAAAAGAAAAAGAAGGGAAGATGAAGGAAGAGGAGAAGAAACAAAGAGGAAGAAAGCGGAAGGAAAGGGGAAAAATATAAGGGGAGGAAAGAAAAAAGGAAGGGAAAAGGGAGGGAAGAAAGAAAAGAAGGAAGATGAAGAAGGAAGGAAGGAAGGAAGGAAGGAGGGAAGAAAGAGGAGAAGAGAAAGGAAGAAAAGAAGGGAGGAAAGAAAGGGAAGGAGGGAGGGAAGGAAGGAAGGAAGGAAGGAAGGAAGGAAGGAAGGAAGGGGGAAAGAAAGAGGAGGAAAGAGAACTGAAAGGGGAAAGATATAAGGAGAGGAGAGATGAAAGGAAATGGGGGAAGAAAGAACAAGAAGGGAAGATTAAGGAAGAAAGGGGGAAGTAAGAGAGAGGAGGAAAGTGAAAGGAAGGGGGAAAGATAAGGGGAGAAAAGAAAAAAGGAAGGGAAAAAAAGAGGGAAGGAAGGAGGAAGGAAGAGGAAAGATGAAAGGAGGGAAGGAAAACGAAGAAGGAAAGAAAGGGAGAAGGGATGAAGGGAGGGAAGGAGAGAAGAAAGAAAAATTATGGAAGAGAAAGAAAGGAAGAATGAAAGAAAGAAAAAGGAAAAATATAAGGGGAGAAGAAGAAAGAAGGTAGAAGGAAGGGAAGAAAGAAAAAAGGAAAGGAAAGGGGAGAGAAGAAAAAGAAGTTAAAGGAAAAGAAATGAGGAAAGGGGGAAAGATATGAAAGGAGCGAAAGGAAGAAGGAAAAGGGAGAAGGGAAGAAGGGAGGGGAGGAGAGAAGGAAGAAACATGATGGAAGAGAAAGAGAGGATGGAAGAAAGAAAAAGGAAAAAAAATAAGAGGGGAGAAGAAAGAAGGTAGAAAGAAGAAAAGAAAGAAAAAGAAAGGAAAGAAAGATAAAGGGGGGATGATGTAGGAGGGAAATGGAGGAAGGAAAGAAAGAAAGAAAGAAAGAGCCACAAAGAAAATGCATACCAGGACAACGCCGGGTAGATGCACTACTGATGCAATATACAATTGAGTGCAGAAGCGGTCCGTCCTGTTCCTTTCACAACCCACGCCTCGCTAAACCCCAGAGTTTCCGAGGCGCGCCTCTTTCAAAGAAGGAACTAAGCCCAGGGGGGCGCAAGGTGCCGGGGTGCCGCCCTCCCCGTTCTCGCCAATGGGAAGGTCCAGGGCGCCGCAGCTGTAGTTCTTCGGAACTCATTGTCCTTGGGGGCGCTAAGCCCTTGATCCCGCGGGAAAACTACAAGCCCCGGCGTCCCTTGCGGGAGGAGGTCCGTCCTACGTGCCTGGAGGAGGGGGGACAGGCTGTTCCATTCCGCCACATAAAACTGCCGCGGTGCCCGAGGAGCCGGTAAGTGCGGCGGACGAAGCGGAGAGAGAGAGACGTAGAATGGAGAAGGAAGAGGGCGCGGGAGGGGCTGCAGATGCCCCCCAAAGGGAAGGATTTCAGGAGAGGGAATAATAGATACGAGGGTTCTAAAGGCCCCGCTCGTGGAAGGGATTGCAACCCGGTTATACAAGTCATTGAGGAATCTATCTATCTGTCTGTCTGTCTGTCTGTCTGTCTGTCTGTCTGTCTGTCTGTCTGTCTGTCGGAATTGACCTTGGTTTTGGGAGTTGTAGTTCACCTGCATCAGAAAAGCACTAAATCCAGCTGATGTCAGATCTGGACCAAACATAGCACACAGACCCAACATGGCTAACTGTGCATACAGGCAGGGTTTGGGGGTGATTGCCCTGGGGATCTGGGAGTTGTAGTTCTCCCTCATCCAGAGCACGAAACCTAGCTGACAAAGGATCTGGACCAAACTTGGCGCACAGACCCAACATGGCCAACTGTGCATACAGGCAGGGTTTGGGGGGTGATTGCCCTGGGGATCTGGGAGTTGTAGTTCTCCCTTATCCAGAGAGCACTAAACCCAGCTGATGTCAGATCTGGACCAAACATAGCACACAGACCCAACATGGCCAACTGTGCATACAGGCAGGGTTTGGGGGTGATTGCCCTGGGGATCTTGTAGTTCTCCCTCATCCAGAGAGCACGAAACCTAGCTGACAACGGATCTGAATCAAACTTGGCACACAGGCCCAACATGCATACAGGCAGGGTTTGCAGGTGATTGCCCTGGGGATCTGGGAGTTGTAGTTCTCCTATATCCAGAGAGCACTAAACCCAGCTGATGTCAGATCTGGACCAAACATAGCACACAGACCCAACATGGCTAACTGTGCATACAGGCAGAGTTTGGGGGTGATTGCCCTGGGGATTTGGGAGTTGTAGTTCTCCCTTATCCAGAGAGCACTAAACCCAGCTGATGTCAGATCTGGACCAAACATAGCACACAGACCCAACATGGCCAACTGTGCATACAGGCAGGGTTTGGGGGTGATTGCCCTGGGGATCTGGGAGTTGTAGTTCACCTGCATCCAACAAGCACTGAACCCAGCAGACATCAGATCTGGACCAAAATAAGCACACAGATCCAATATGGCCAACTGTGCATACATTCAAGGTTTGCGGGTGATTACCCTGGGGACTTGGGAGTTGTAGTTCTCCCTTATCCAGAGAGCACTAAACCCAGCTGACAATTGGTCTGGACCAAGCTAGGCACACAGACTCAACATGGCTACCTGTGCATACATTCAGTGTTTGCAGGTGATTGCCCTGGGGATCTGGGAGTTGTAATTCTCTCATATCCAGAGAGCACTAAACCCAGTTGACAACAGATCTGGACCAAACTTGGCACACAGACCTGACATGGCCAACTGTGCATAAGGCAGGGCTTCAGGGTGATTGCCCTGGGAATCTGAGAGTTGTAGTTCATCCTTATCCAGAGAGCACTAAACCCAGCTGACAACGGATCTGAATCAAACTTGGCACACAGGCCCAACATGCATACAGACAGGGTTTGCAGGTGATTGGCCTGGGGATCTGGGAGTTGTAGTTCTCCCATATCCAGAGAGCACTAAAGCCAGCTGACAACGGATCTCGACCAAACTTGGAGCACAGACCCAACATGGCCAACTGTGCATAAGACAGGGCTTCAAGGTGATTGCACTGGGAATCTGAGAGTTGTAGTTCATCCTTATCCAGAGAGCACTGAACCCAGCCAACAACAGATTTGGATAAGTGATGTAAGTGATATTACCTAACATCCCAAAACAAACAATGCCTTCTTTGTATGACCTGAGCACCGCCGGGTCCCCAAGCTAGTGTGTATGTATGTATGTGTGTGTGTATATATATATATATGTGTGTGTGTGTGTGTAAAATCTTCCTTCCTTGATATTATAATGTGCTTTCCTTTCACCACCAATTTCTTTTTAAAGATCGTCTTCCATAAGGATCACCTGTCTTTGAATCCAGTCTGCATCTTCATGCCTTCTACAGATGCGTCCACATTGTGGAATTAATGCAGTTTGACGTCACTTTATCTTACTTGGCTCAATGCTATGGCATCCTGGGAATTGTGGTTCACTTTTTGTGTGTGTCAGGAGCGACTTAAGAAACTGCTAGTTCACTGAGGCATCAGGAATTTTTGGCAGAGACAGGTAAAGACCTTGTAGGACTACCATTCCCAGGATTCCCTATCATTAAGGGCTGACAGTGAAAGAGATGTCAAACTGCATTAATTCTACAGTGTTTGTGCACCCAAAATGTCACTTTGCCATTCACCAAATGCAATTATAGCACTATTGTTCCACTTTAGTTTTCCTGTGTTCACCCTTCGGAATCCTGGAATTTGTAGTTTGGTGATGTGCTATAGCTCTGTGGCACAGGGTCCTATGGAATCCCTCAAATGTAAGGATTCTATAGGCTGGGGTCACAGCAATTAAACTGGGATCATAATATTATAGTTATGTAGTGTGAAAGAGTCATCATCATAATTATTTGTACTTCACTTTCCTGTCTGGATCGAGATCCAAAGCAACTAGCTAATTAAAAAAAAACCCAATTAAAATTGGAATTTTTTTTGAAAAGAAACAGAGAATTATTAAATAAATTAGTTAAAAAACAAATGTTAAGCTATAAGACGTTAAAAATTCCCCTGTTCTATATACACTCTTGTACCCTATCACATTTGATGATGAGACTGGCCTATGATTCTATTAAGAGACGAAGCGGATTTTTATGTAGTTTTGTATTTGGTGTATAGTTATGTGTTGTGGATTCTGGCTTTTGTAACTGTCTTTTTATGTGTACTGTACACCGCCATGAGTCGCCCGTAAGGGCTGAGAATGGCGGTTAATAAGTGCAGCAAATAAATAAATAAATAAATAAATTTCTCATATATTTGCAATAAAAATCATATGGAAAAAACAACAAATAATTTAAAATGTTAAAATAATAATAGTAGTAGAATCATAGAATGAGTTGGAAGAGACCTCGTGAGCCATCCAGTACATGCACAAAATTATTAAAATATTGTACAAAATGACCTTCAGGCTATGTGTATGTGTATATAAACATAAACAAATTTTGTGTTTGGACTTGGATCCCATATCCAAGATGCTGAACTTGTTGACCAAAAGGTTGGCAGTTTGGCTCCGGGAAGCGGGATGAGCTCCTGCTGTTAGGCCCAGCTTCTGCCAACCTAACAAAAATTTGTATACGTTGAACCATCAGAAAGCCAACCAAGTGAACAATTTTGGAATTGAGTAATTTAGATTCCAGAACTTTAGATACAGAATACTCAACCTATATTCATTTTACTTATATCACACCTTTCTTCTAATATCTCTTTTGATATTATTAAAAATATCCACCACAGATACACAAAAAATAAGTTATTATATCAAAGCATGAGGCCTGGTGGCGCAGTGGGTTAAACCGCTGAGCTGCTGAACTTGTTGACTGAAAGGTTGGAGGTTCGAATTCAGGGAATGTGGTGAGTTCCTTCTGTTAGCCCCAGCCTCTGCCAACCTATTAGTTCAAAAACATGGAAATGTGAGTAGATCAATAGGTACAACTTCTGCAGGAAAGTAATGGCACTCTATGCAATCATGCTGGCCACATGACCTTGAGGTGTCTGTGGACAACGCTGGCTCTTTGACTTAGAAATGGAGATGCGCACCAACCCCCGAGAGTCGAACACGGCTAGACTTAATGTCAAGGGGAAACCTTTACCTTTTTATTAAAGCGCAGTTAACCAGATTACGATGTTTAAATGGCTTCTGAGTTTTACAAAAACGAAAACCACTTAAAAACAGTTTTGTCAGCAGGGAACAAACGTGAAGTCAATTTCAGATGATTGTTCTTTTAGCTGAAAGAGATTCATGACTGGAAAAAAAATGTTCTTAGCATTCAATGTTCCATCCATTCTTCGCAGAGAATAATTGTAGGATATTGACATTCTTGATATTAAATGCACAAGGTAGAGTAATTTGAACACTTTTTCTCTCAAACATGTTTTCATACATGGAGTGGAAAGCTCAAGATCTCATTGACCCACAATAAACAAAATGGGTTTGCACCCAAAGCTGAGATGAGCCCAGGGGGTGCTATGGTTTTAATTGGAAACAGTCTTGAATAACAAAAGTTTTAAGAGAGACTTGATAGGATTTTGCTGGGAATCTGCAAAATGCTCAGATTTCCAGCAGAATCCTATCATGTCGACTTAGAGATTCCATTGAACTCAGTGGGGCTTTGTTGTTGTTTATTTACCACCAAGCTGGTCTTGATCCTGTCGATGAGGCATCTCCAAGATTCCTGGCTGTCAGAGGTCCTGCTCAAATAATCTCCCACCGAAATAGGAAATACCTAAATACTCTATAGCAGACTTGTGCCCTCCAGATGATCCAACTTCCAGAAGCCCTAACCAACTTGTCCAATGGCCAGGAATTCTGGGAGCTGAAGCCACAATTTTGACACCAGGGCTCTAAAGACACCAAATCTTCCCTGATCTTGAAAGCTAAGTAGAGCCAACTTGGTTAGTACTTGGGTGGGAGATTGCTAATACCAGATGCTGTAGGCTATACAGTAGACTCTTAGTTAACCAGCACCCACAGGGATTGGTAGGTGTCTAGTAAATGCAGTTTCTGGTTGCTTGGGAATTACTATTACAAACACACCAAGCGAATACTATACCCCATATATATACAATACCATACCATAAGTTCTGTATTGACGTGATATTAACATTGAAATACAGTAATTAAAAGAAAATTAAGACAAAGACAAACTTAATGTAACAGTAAAGGTAAAGATTTTCCCCTGAGTTCTTGTGGGTTTTTTCGGGCTATATGGCCATGTTCTAGAGGCATTTTCTCCTGACGTTTCGCCTGCATCTATGGCAAGCTTCCTCAGAGGTCTGCTGGAGCTGGGAAAAAGGGGTTTATATATCTGTGGAA